GTACTAATTCTGTATCTACCCTCTATGATGCATAAATATCGTAAATTTGTTACTGGTACTTAAAACTTCTTGTTCCTTGTATCTGTTCTTGTATCTGTGTTTTGTCATTACTTGTTACATAAAATTTCTTATACCATATGAGCATTTAAAAATAAATGCTAAAATTCCTTCATGATACAGAAAACCCCAAGTATCTAAATATAAAGAAATAAAAAATTGAATTAAAAAGTTAAAATAAAAGATTTTTCCCCTGAAATTCTGGGCCAAAAATGTGGGTGTGCATTATACATGGCAAAATATAGTGACAGTCTCTGCCAAGGCAAGTTAGTTAAGAATTAAAAGTAGAAAAAGAAAAGTGCATCTGAGCAGGAATTAGAATATATAGCTTATAGTCCGAATTCAGCCTCCTAAACCAAACACTGCACCCACAACTCCCCTGAATTACTTTGATTATCTGCACCCGAGTTGGGGAAGGGAGGTGGGAAAGGGAGGGAGAGAGACAGAGAGACAGAGGGACAGAGAGGGAGCAAGACCTAGAGAGTCCCATCCAAATCTTTCAGGTAAGTCTGGTTCTTTACTGGACAGTGACCCTTCAAAGGGTCATGAGCCCTATGACTGCCGAGACCAGGACACGGCTGCAAACTCTAGGTTAAGGGTTGCCCAAACCCCAGCATAGTTCCTGGTCAGAAGCAGGATCATACTAGATGGCAAAAGTTCCAAAGGATGATAGTCATGTGGAATGCATTACTTATTCAGAAATCTAAGCTGCTTTGACAACGCAAATAATTACCTTTCTCTTTAGCATAAAATAAGCCTTCATTGTAGCCTTATTTTTGAAGGCAAAGGAAGTTAATTTTAATTAACAAAACTTAATGCTGTTAATTAAACATTTGTTCTATTTTCACATAGACACACAAATTTGCCTAAAGATATAACTAATTCTGCTGAGGGTATAGTAGAAGCTTTGTTTTGCTACATAGAGAGCACAACTGATTACAAGAATTAAAGCGAACTTGGTCAAGATACTTACCCCATGTTCTTGGGTACATCTAATTCCTCTCCGAGTATCACAGAATACAGGAAATAAATGACTTCACTCTGTCAATAATATTTAGCTTAACTTTTCTTTATGTTTTTATCATCAATAAAAATCACAGAATTTAACAATCATTTTTAAAATAATGTATTTGAAGTTTATTCTTAGAGAGAATATAATTTTAATCTCCCAGCAACTCTGAAGGAAAAGTGATTTTTTCTTATTAATTAGCTGAGCTTCAAAGAGATATAGATTTATATGTATAGCTCTTTTTCTTTTTAGCTTTTAATTTTTGATATTGATGTGGATTGGTTTAAACACAATAATAACAATAGCTAAAGCTCTACATTAGCATCATACTCTAGAAAATCATGAGTACTGTCAAAGATGAGTCAGGAAATGAAAGGGTTTTGGAGCAGCAGGATACTCTAAATACGTCTGGATGGAGGAGCCCTGATGTGCCTCACGGTGCCCACTGCCCAAGAGGAAGAAGGTATTCCGCCTTACTTCCTTACTTGCTCATGTTGGGGGAGCACATAAGGAGTATTCAGACCATAAAGATAGCTACCAACAGTCCACTAAATGAATTGTATTAATGCAGATGAAGAGTTTGTATATGTTCATTTAGGCATTTACATATTTATTTACATGTATATATACATTTTCTTTTCCTCTCCTGCCCTAAACAATTACTAATCTACTTTCTGTCTCTATAGAATTCCTTATCCTAGGAAATTCTAGGTTCCATTTCATGTGAATAGAATCATATAACACATAAACTTTTATGGCTGGCTTCTTTCACTTAACATAATGTTTTCACAGTTCATCTAAGTCACAAGAGGTACAAGTATCTCCTTCTTTGTCACAGCTCAATAATATTCGATTGTATAGACATACTATATTTTGTTTATGTATGTATCCACTGATGGACAGTTGGATTATTTCCATCTTTTGACTATTCTGAAAAATGCTGCTACAGACATACACATATAAGTTTTTGTGCAGACATAGGTCTTCATTGCTCTTGGGTGCATACCTGGGAGTGGAATTGCTGGGTCATACGGTAACTCTATGTTTAATCATGGAGGAACTTCCAGACCATTTTCTAAAATGGTTGCATCCTTAACATTCCCATCAGTAATGTATGAAGGTTTTTATTTCTCCCCATCCTCACTTAGATTTATCTTTAAGGAATATTACTTTGCTCAGAATGGTGGATGGAAGAAGAGGACAATACCCTGGAGACTTAGTGGAGGCCGTACAAGCTCTGGAGCCTACTTTCCAATTTCTTTAATGTTTAATAAGACAAACCTTTATTTCATTAATCCACTACTATTCTGAGCATCTGGTAATGGCCGCCTAATAGAATTCCTAATACATAAAGTCCTGTTAGCACTTCTTGAACCTGAGAAGCCATCAAAAAACATATCATTGAATTGAATATGTAAGAATTTCTTTCCAGTTTTTTTTTTATTATTCTGCTCCACTCTGGAAAACACACATTATTTCCTTCTTAATTTCAGGTCCCGACATTCAATAGCCATTCTCTGCTTAGAAATGGCTTCAGTTCTCCCTAGCACCTTGTGGGTACCCTGCAAGAAGGAAGCAACAGCCCAATACCCAGAAACAAATGGAAGTGCTATCTATCAGTGGAGCAATTTTTGAAATGGGAAGAAAAGCTCTCATTGTGGTTTACATAGAATGAGCACAAACTTAGTATTTTCTCCCTCAAATATTATCCTAAATTTTAGGACAGCATTAATAATGATGAAAGGTCCTTTAAAGCTTTATCTTAAACTCTCTGGGAGCCTGAGGAATTTCAGCACCACACCGACCAGATAGCGCTTGTGTCCCACAACTGCTCACTTTGGTCATGGAGCCACTTCCGACCTTCGTGGCGGGTTGTTGGACCCCCCCAGCCCAGGTTTTCACCTTGACCTTTGGAAAAGTAAAAGGAAACCTGAGTCATTAGTTATAGTAATCAGCCTTTTTGTCCACTCCCCCTAATGCTTGTGTTCCACTTACCCGTATTTTGTGAACAAACATGCAACCTGCCACTCTCCTGCCTCTCATAACGAATGTAAATATTACCACAAAGCCTGTCTTTCATAAATAGGTTTCTAATACTTTTCCCTGAAACTAGTACATCACCACTGGTGGAGAGGAGAGCATGATAGACTCAGGGAATTTTGTGACTGGTTTCTCTCTCAATGTTTTAATTAACTAACTGATACATTCAGCCAACACTTGTTGAGGACCTACTGTGTTAGAAATAGCACTTCATTCTGTTCATAAAAAAATCTCATTTTTTCAAACTCATAACATGTTTTGTGCATTAGTTAATGGTTCTTGAAATCAAATATTTAAAAACAAATATCTTAATCATTTTTCTTGTATAAGGAAGGCCTTTTTTCCCTCGCGTTAAGAGTTTTGCTCCGCCCCCGCCCCCACACACCTTTTCCTTCTTAAAACAGGAAAATCATTTAGCTTGTGTTGTTAATAGGTCGGTTTCAATGCACCTTATAAAAGCCAGATATGGGAGCAATGTTTTTCTCTCCCAAAATTTCTCCCGAATCTCAGATTTTCAGTAATTTGCTATTTCTATACCATTTCATTATTTATTTATAAACATTTATTAAGGACCTTGCTCAGCTCCATATTTTGTGCCATTCTGAGACAAGCTCAAACCTATCAATGATGAACAGAATTCCCCAAAGAATAATGTCAACTTTAAAAGTCACATACATTTCTGGAGGTGTACTATCTTATTACCTTTCTATTAAAATGACAACATCTTCTCTTATACAATTTCGCTCTCCATTTTGCTTAGCCATATTTCTCTCTTGAGATTAGCTAAATCTCTTGGTTCAGACAATCCTGGATTCAAATTTCTCCCCGGTATCCTGTTAGCTGAGCGCCTTTCTGGCACTCTGGGCAGTGTTTTCACTTGTAAAACAGGAATAATTTCATCTACGCTGCTGGGGTGCTGTAAGGACTACATGTAAAGTAGACAGCATATATGCTGGGCACACAGTGAGCAGCCAATTCACGTGAGCAGCGGATTTCAGATGTTTGCATCTTTAGTTAACAACCATCTTACCTTCCATCCTGTTAAATTGTTTCAGTCGCTGACTACTCAATAAACTTGTTAACAAGTATATACCATAACCAGGGCTTGAGTCATAGCACAATGGGATTGCTTTTCAGTAGAGATGATTTGGGGAATTACGTATTCCAGCACTTTTCTTCCCACGATCACTACCGGCTGTCTAAAAACATGTGTTTTTTTTTTCCCTGATGACAAAAGATAAGATGAAATTACTATAAGCACCAATAACTCAAGTATAAAAGTGACCAAATGAGAATGAAAAAATCGTATACATACAGCCCCACCCCACCCCCGTGCGCGCGCTTACACATACACACACACACACACACACACACACACACACACACGGCCTTTTCCTTCAAGCCCAAACTTGATTCACAGGTACAGGCCTCTGTAACTTTTCTTGGCACTCTGGTCATGAAATCTCCTGTCCGCTAAAGCCACAAAAACCTGTAGTGGAAGCAGGTACCATACCCTGCTCAGGGCACAGGAACCCTTTGCTATGGCTCCCACCTGTCGGCCAGGTCATTGTGACGCAAAAGCTGTGGACACGTGGAACACCCTCGGGAGAGCAGGGGCGGGGTCTCCCGGGCGGCTGCTCCGAGAGCGGGATTCCCCAGGAGGTGGGCGTGGAGGAAAGACCCCCAGGGAGTGGAGAGAAGGAGACGCGCTCGCCCCATCCCGGACCCGCCCAAACAAAGTGAGGCCAAAGCCCCCTCCCCCATCCAGATCCCGAGGTTTTGCTGAGAGGGTTCTCGAAAAGGGAGGGGTAGAGAGAGAGAAGGCGGTGGCGGTGCCCGGACTGCCTGCGCCCGCTCGCCCCCGCCGCGGCGCTGCTCCGGGGCGCGCGCGGGGACCCGCGGGTTGCTATTCCGGCTGGCGGCCGCCACCGCAGGAAGGACGGGCTCCCGCGCTCCCCCGCCCCTTTCCCTCGCCTTCTGCTGACGCTGACGTCGGGAGAGGGAGCCGGAGGGACGCTCCGACCGCCGCCGGGAGCTCCTGGGGGCCGGGGCCCGAGGTACCTGCCCTCCGGGGCCGGGGTGGGGATGCACCGGGCGGGCTGCAGGCTGTAGCGGGAATCGCCCTGAAGCCAGGGCCATGGGGGCGCCAGCCTGGGACTGCCAGTTCTGCTCTCGGCGGGCGGCGGGGGACAGGCGGGTCGCCTCCTCCTGCCAGTGATCCCCGAGCGGGAACCTCGGAAGCCCCTTACCATCCCCCGCCTGCTCCCTCGGGCCTGAGAAGGTCTGGCAGATGCGCGCGCCCAGAGAGCGCGTCAGCCCTGGGGGAGCCGGAGGAAAGCGTTCCGGGCTCTGACCCATCTCTCTCCCCAGCGCCCAAGCACCGGGACCCACGCCATCCCACATCACCCACTCGTGCCTAGCCCCACAGCGGCTCCGGCTCCAGGACCTCAAGGTCCTTGCGACTGGAGCTGACTTGTTGACAAGTTCACCTGCCGCGGCGCGTGGTGTTTGCCTTTTCTCTTCACCCCAATTGCTCATCCTTGGCGGAGGTGGCAGGGAGCAGATGGGTACCTCTTTATAACCTCTAGTGCCTAGAGGCCCGAGCTCAGTTCCCTGGGAAGGAGGTGGTCACTAGCCTCGGACCTGATTGGAGCAAGAGCCCCTAAGCAGGCCAGATCGCTGCAAAACCTGACGCGCCCGTTTCCTTTGGGTGTTGCTGACGTCTCCTTTCCTGACCCGGGGCTATTGCAGCTCCTGCTTCCTCTAGAAACAAGCATATCCTGTTATTATGCCTGCTGTTATCCAGAACGCCTCCGCATTAATCTTTCACACCGTCTTTTTACCTGGAGTGCTCCCTTAGGCCCCTCAGCTTTTCTCCGGGGGGGGGGGGGGGGGCGGGGAAGGGAAGGTCTTAAAAGTACTGCGCCTTTCGCTAGCGATAACTGCCTGGCTGGGAGAGTCCTAGTTTAGAAAGAGAATCAGGTTTCCCTGTGTTTAGATAGCATGACAAACCAGCATTAGAAGGGTGCTGGGTGGCAGCCTCAGTAACTGAGGTCTGGTAACTTTATAAAAATGATCAGGGCCTGGGAAAATACAGCACCAGCTGGTTTGAGGATGATCTTGAATGTAGGAAGCAAGGTACATAGGGCATTAGCCACTGAGGCTCTATAAATTATGACTCACTGCAAACACGTTCGTGTCCAAACATTTCAGTGAAGTGTGTCCAGAGAAATCTCACATTGGTTCCTGTCCACATTTGGTTTAGATTTCCTGAGGCCGAAACCGTTCCCTGGGGGTTGGGAAGTGAAATGGGGAATACTTATTGGTTGGCATTAATGCTCCAGACTTAGTTTCTTAACTTCTTACCTTCTGTTTAAAATACCCACATTCTAAACATGCTTTTAAGTGGGTTTTCAAACGAGTTTCTCTTTAGGTTTTAGTTTTGAAACCTTGTGTGCAGAGTAAACCACAGGGGCAAAATCCGTTTGTAATCCTAAATAGTTCCATGGTCACTGGTTTTAGACCATCATGTGCCTATATATTTAATTGCAGGAGATGTGGCTTTCTAAATGCATTTTGTTTTGTATAGGAAAATAGTTGTACTATGTATATTAAAGATACAAGATCTTTAGAAAATGGCAGTGAAGCTATTGAGTACAAGTTACAATAGTAAAGAAACCTGAGGTTAAAAACACAGCCTGTGGATACTTCACCCATAGGTCATTAAATGCTAAAGACGCTGCATGGGAAGCCTAGACAGTCCATTTTATAGCTGCCTTCTCCACATTGGGTACACTTGAGTGTCCAGCTCACTGCTTTCTCCGAGCACCTTTATCTTGCTCTGAGAATTTCTCTCTCTCCACGTCAGCTATGTGGAAAATACAGAATGTTCTGTTACCCAAGGAAAAACCTTAAATATTGCTGTATCTTCCACATGTTTGCCTAAACAGTATGTGCTTTCAGATGCAGGCAGTGTTATCAGAGACAGGGAGGTGTGGCTACTGTGAAATGAATGAGAGGTCATGAACTCTAGGGTTACAGACCCCTCGTGCAGAAGAAGGTGGGGAAGCTAATACACGACATGGATCAGGAGGAGTTTTTCTTCTTTACCAGTTGAGCTTCATAGCTAGAAGCCCGGGTGGCAATGTATGAGATCAGTGCACTGGTCACGAGGGTAATTTTTATACTCTGTCTGCATGGTCAGATTTGTGGGAACCATGGACCTGTTTGCTATCTGCATGTTTTTATTCATCAGAGAACATAGATCACTAATTAATGAACTTCATTCCCAGCCTCACCTCTCTCTAGAATCTGCCTCAACAGAGCTTTACCCTCAGAGATTGATACAGGATAAACTTTTCCCCTGGCAAACTCCACACACACACACACACACACACACACACACACACACACAATCACATCTACTGGCATGGAGGATGTGCAGAGGGCACACAGGCCATGGATGCCAATGGAGCAGGGTTGGAAGCCCAGCCCCAACAGCGAACCAGACGTGTGCCCTTAAGCAAGTTGCTTAAGCTCTCTACACCATCCTTTCCATACCTACAGAGCAAGAATATACACCTTGTAGAGTTCTGGTGGGGAGGAGAGATAGTACATGTTGACCTTTAACAAATAGCCAGCTCTTTTTCCAGAAAAAAAAATTGGTTTATTCATGAACAGCAAAGAATTGCAATTCAGAACATGTGGTCTAGTGGCAAACCACTTGTTAGTCCAGAGAAACAAAAGAGAGGAATGCTCTTTTGTAGACTTGGAGGAAACTGAAAGCTGGAAGTATAGTGACTTTTCATGGGCTGAGTTATGGCAGTCTCTCAGTGGCTGGACTGTTATTGGGCAAGGAAGACTTTTTCTTCTGCCACTGAGGTGATAAACTAGTATCAGAGATGCACGGCGTGTCTCCTTCTGTTGGGGTCAGTGGAGTCATCCTGAATGGTATCTGTGAGAGTTTTCTAAATGAGGTTTCTGTTTATTTTTACACACATAGAAAATGCTTTGCATAGTAACTAGGACTCAAGTGGTAGCCATATTCTTTCGCGTGTTAAACATAGGTGCTATTCATATCTAAAAGATGCTACTCCTTTTCCCTCAGTGAGAAGGTAGGTGCTCCAATTTGGTTTTCAGTAGTTCAGGTGCTTTTGTACCAGTACTGAGTGAGAGTTTGGGCTTTCTAGAATACTTCAGAAGTTGGGGGATGCAATCTGTGGTCCAGAAAGAAAGCAAAGCTCATTTGTTCCCATGGAGAAAGATCTTCCACATCCCTGCCACTCAGGCGTGACCTGTAGACCGGCAGCAGTGGCTTCCCCTTGGGGCTTGCTAGACCTGCAGAATCTCAACCTGCCCCAGAGGCTCGCTGAATTTGAATCTGCATTTTAACAAGATCCCAGAGTGAGTCATGTGTACATTAAAGTTTGAGGAGCCTTGTTCTGACCTGGCATTTATCAAACTTTCCTGTCCAGTGGAATCCTTTGGGGGCTTGTTAAATGTGGATTCCCAGCCTGGCTTCTCCCATCTCCTGTTAATCCCTCAAGTGGCTCTGGCATCCAGAGCCCTTCCGTGTTCTTCAGGAAACACTGCACCAAATCTTTATCCATCAAGGCAGTCTAAAATGGGCCGGTCCTGTCTTTCCTTGACAATGGTGCATATTAAGGCCTTTTAAGGTAGGTAGGTATTATAATCATATCTGATAAAAAAATTAAGACCACCTCCCTGGTGTTCTGGATAATGCATGTGGTAGAAGTACCTTGAACCTCTGTAAATCCTGGTTGACCCTGCATTCACTACTTCAGCATCCAAATATATGTACTCTGTGTGTGTGTACATCATTTTAAATATTAATGAATCCAGAACAGGGATGACTGTACATGACAGGGCATTTAATGCATGCTTTTAAGCCTCCTTCTGTGTGGCTGTAGACCAGTTCCTTAGGATAACTGGTTTTCAGCTTCATCCATAAGATGAGAGTGATGTCTCCTTGGTAGTGTTGTCAGGCTAAGCGTAACATGCACGAAGCGTACAGCTCAGTGTCTGGAAGTGTTAGTTCCTCAACTAATGGTAACTACTTGGCCCAATGGAAACCTAGTGAGAGAGAATGAGTTTATGGGACTCTGAGGAAATGGCATTGCTCATGATGAGAAATCTCTTCTGCTAAGTCAGAGGACATCATTCACCAGGCCTTTGACCAAATCAGACATGTGAGGTCACTACTGAGTTTTCAGCAAACATTTGTTGGGTCTGTGCTGTGTGCCACACACTGGGCTGGTCCTGGGAATCCCAAGACAAGACCCCGGCCCTACCCTGCTTAGGAGGAGCATAGAGCCTGGTAAGGGAGCAATAGAGAAGTCAGCTGACAATCATGTTTCAGCAAAAACATAGAGGAATGAAGCCCAGGCCTGCCAGCCAGGTGGGAGAGAGAAGAGAGAAAACCTGAGAAGGCTCCTGGAAGAGGGGATCATTGAGCTGAGCCTTGAAGGACCAATAGGAATTTGGCAGGTGAAAACGGTTGGGAATGGAGAGGAGGAGTTCCCAACACAGCATCCAGGAGTATAAAGGGAGAGAATCCTGGAAAGTAGTCCTCATGTGCGTGTGTGTCTCTTATTAGCTGAGTGACCTTGGGCAAGTTTATCATCTGTGATTTGAGATGTGAAGTGTAATAATCAGGGTAAGCACAAGATTGATTTCAATTATTTGCTGAATAATAACTGTGGTGGTTGTGGTGGTGGAGGTCTTAGTGAAAAATACGGGAGTGGAATTGTCATTAGAATTAGAAAAATTAAAGAGGTCAATTTAGATAAATTGTAAAATACATGTATTCTAAAAATGGAAAATACATAAAACTAAAAGAAAGAGACAGAAAAAGCCAATGGAATGCAATACAATACGGTGCGGTGGGAAACACGGGGTGTATGTGCTCAGTGGCGGACTGCTGATCATATCGACAGCGGTGCATCGTTAACCCCGAGACTCTAGGTGCAGTGTGGAAAGGCCCTCTCAGTCTAGGTGGTGAGAGCACTTGCACAAGGAGTGACCGTAAAGTACTGCG